GGACATGATTTACAGTCTTTAGTGAATCATGTCTGCACCATGAAGCCTGAATCTGGACAGATTTTGATTCATGACATATACCGGAAAAGTGTCTGTTTTGTTAGGACGATTCCGGCTTTAAAATGCAGAATATTCTCTTTTAATACATTTACAGTTAAGAAATTAGATTTCTTTTCTCAGTGGCCTGTCAGAGAAGATGAACTTGTCTTTTCTATTAAGGTTTAACTCCAGAGAAACCAAAAGAAAAGGGTCCAACATAAAAACAGCCATTTCATCATGTGCTTTCTTTCAATATGAGCTTTCATAACTTACATGACTGAGGTGTTTTTCGCGTGCGCACCATCTCTCTGAGTAGAGACGGCATACTGCCTGACACACAACTGACAGATCACCAGACCAGTTCCCCACTGCAGCAACAGACAACTGGACTGTAATTATTAAACAGAGAGGCAGAGAGGAACAGAGGCTGACGGGTAAAGGCAGACAGATAATTCACAAAGACAGAGGCAGGCTTGTGGATGGATAATAAGGAAGAGAGACAGAGACAGAGGTAAGGTAGAGAGACAGAGATAGTTACCAGAACACCAGATGGATGGGCAACAAGACAGGTCGACAAATAGCAAGGTAGCCAGAATGACAGATTGGAAATACCTTAAACTAAGCTCCGCTATACCAATGAAACTGAATTTCCAGGAATGTATTCAATTTGTATGTTCTCTCAACACAGGGATTAAAGGAATATGAAAAAAAATCACCCTCCTTACTCTATTTCTTCCTTTTTTCATTAATTTGATTGGCAGACTACATTGAGCGGATGGGAGTAAGGGTTTGTAGTTGCTGTGGCAACGGCCTGCTCTTTGTTAAAGGCTACATTCCTGGCATCTGATGTTTCTGCGATGCGATCGATAAAAAGCCCCAGCCTGCGGGGACTCGTGAACGGAGTGGGGCTTTTGCCAGGCCAGGCAGGGCTGGGGAGAGGAAAGGAGTTAGGTGGAAGATCTGTGAGCATGAAGACGGAGAGATAAAACAGCGACAGTCAGAGGAAGAGGGAGAGAGATGGAGATACGAGCAGTGCAGAGGGGCGAGTGCTGTGGGAAAGGGAAAGAGGGAGTGTGCTCTCCGGCTCCTTCTGCCTCGTCTTGGCTATTTTCTGAATGTCACTCACTTCACTATCAAAGTAAGGTAGGTGTCTGTCTGTGTGCTCATCATCTGCTTACCTTGGCGGGATTTTGCTTTGCTGTGATTGACAAGAGCTCTGCAAGCAGTCTGAAGCTTTTTAAAGGCGCCTTTCATATTTCTTTTCGAGCATTTTTCTTTTCGTTTATGATAGTGCACACAAATTCCCACTGCTCGTGTCTTTTCTGTTTTGCACACCTATTTGGCAGAGATAGCCATGAGCAGAATACAGATACTACTGATAATGAGGCAATTATGGTCAGGCTCTCTGTCTACTTAGCCATCTTTCAATTCAACAACCTGTGGCTGCCGGATGGTGTTTTTGCTGTCAAGCTCTTTCCAAGCTGTGAGGAGTCACGGCTCTCAGAGAGAACATCATCTTTCACAGCTGAACTCTGCATCCTTTCCCCTCATTACCCTGTCATTATCATCTCTTCCCGTAAAACCTTCCCTGGAGAGTGGCTGGGAAGTGGCCAAACGCCATATATTTGAACACAACATCTTGGTGATAAATATCAAAATTTAGGGTATTCATTGTAAAATGCAACAATGAGACATCATTAAGATTACTTGGTATATCAATTATTTATCAAGCAAAGACCATTAAGTCACTTCTATTTGTTTCCGTTCATCCTACGGGGGTCATGTGTGCTTGGCAAAAACTGCTGTAAACACTGTGGATTCAACAAACACAAGCTGCCATTTCACTTCCAATTTAGTTTGTATTTTAGTTTGAACACTTGCCACATTGTCCATTCACCACCACACCCCCTCCGAGAGGAAAAATGTTTTCCTCAGAATAGTCTTTTCTTTAACTCTTGAAAAAACACTAAGATCTTGATAGTATATCTTTTTGAGATCACTCCAATCTGAATTATTGCTCCTAAAACCCCATTAGGAGAAAAGGATGGGATGAAGAGAGATTGAGGTTTTGAGACTTAGGTAAGACAAATGGATACTGAACTGAGATTACAATTGAATAAATGAAAGTAACAGATGAGATCTCATCATTGTATCTTTTTGAGATCATTACTGTCTTGCATATTGCTCCTAAAAAGCAGTTGGGAACTCTGGGGAGATGTTCGTGAGTTTGATTGTATTATATTCCTCTCTATGCATGGAGAACCATGCTGGAGGCTTGCCCTGAGCTGGCTTTGAACCCCACTCCTGCTGTTCAAAATGCAACAACACTGCCGCTGCGCCATTGAGCTAAAATTAAAGAGATGGTATTATGCTCATTTTCAGGTTCAAAATCCTATTTAGGGGTTGTACCGGAACAGGTTTACATGGTTTAATTTTCAAAAAACACCATATTTTTCTCATACTGCACATTGCTGCAGCTCCTCTCCCTATGTGTTGCATCTTACTTGTACAAAAACTTTGTTGGGAGCTGCACATGCGCAGTTCCCAGGTAAGGACTACTAGCCAATCAGAAGCAGTGAAGGGCGGGTCGTAAGAAACAAGGTAGTGTGATCCAAATCAAAGCCGCTTCAGACTGCGACCGTAACCTAGCAGATGGTATAAGTTACTCACAAGTCCACAACATCATTGTTCCACATGTTACCATAAACCACTACAAAAATCACCATATTTCAACTCAATTTTACATAAAAATTGGCCGAACAATTTGAACGTTTGCTCAGTAGCTTTCACATCAGGTGAACGTTTACAACAACTCCGCACTTGAACAGTCTGTGAAGTTACATTTCCGCGTTTATTTTCAATATAATTCACAACCAATAAAGCATACTTACAGGTTGTGATTTTGAATTTCCAGGCCCAAACAGAGTCGGAGTAGCATCGTCGTGCCTTGCCAAAAAATGCTTCCATAGCGCAAATCGATAGACTCGACTCTACTCGGCCCTGCTCCGTTTTCCATTGCAGATAGTACCCAGAGATAGTACGTAGCTTGTCGTCATAGTCGATGTAATGTTCAATGCGACACACACACCAGCAATCCACACAGCTCTTAAAATATATACAGTCTACGGTTAAAACGTTTCAATATTATTCAGAATGTAAAGACAGATAAGCCGTATGAAAACCTTCCAGCTCTGTTTTCCTCTGCCGTTGTTGCTGCAGCGGTCTGTGCGACGGCGGGAGCAGAGGGCTCTGTGAGCGGGCGGCTGGCCGGCCTCTCACGCTCCTCCCGGGGTTGGCACAGGCTTCCCCCGCAGCAACTTGCAGAGCTCCTCAACTCAGAAAATATTCAAGCACATTTTTGTTCCTCCATCACTTCTCGTAAAACTGTCAATATTCGAAATCTACACAGCTGATTTCTCACCTCAAAACTTTGTGGATTAAAGTGGATTTAGTGATGAAATTCCATATGAAAACTGTAAAATATAAAACTTTCTGTTGCTGGCCTCTGTCTGGTACACACACTGAAGATGCAGTGAATAGTGAATATTCTCTCTGACCAATCAGCAGTCTGTCGTGTTTTCACGTTACATTTTAGTATCCCTCAGCTCGCTTGGAACCTGTACGGAGGTGAGGTGATACGAAAAAAAGTACCTGGAAGCAGGTACAGGTGCAACCTTTCTACAATGGAAAACCAAACAAAGGCGAGTCGAGCCAAAGGGCCTCCGCTCATACTAGCTTGGTTTGAGGGCGTGCCTGACCCCGCTAGCCGCTTGGCAAGCTTTATGACGTGTTTTCATTTAACGTCACAAGTAAAGGAAGTGAAGGGCTGGACTACAAACGAGCTGTTTTCAAGTGGTTCAGAGCAGAGCTTTCTGTGGGAGATGGGAACTCCCTTTGGGCTTTTTCATTTGCAAACCTGTTACATGCACAAACAAGATATATAACTCAATAAAGGAGAGGGAAAAAGCCAAAAAGCACAATACCACCTCTTTAACAAAGAAGGACTAATTGTCTTTAAATAGAGTACAATTTTCCTTTACTTAAAAGAGGAGAAATACCATATCCAAAAAAGGTATAAAAGTATTCCATAGTGAATGTATTTAAGTATCAAAAGTAAAATTGCTTATTCTGTATGACAGATACATGTTGTATCTCAGTTCTTGCGTGTATTCAGTCCTTAATGAATTAATTTCTAAATATCATGTCAAAGTGGGTGTTCCAGTTATGCTGGCTGTGACTACCTTAACCAATTAGAAAGCATGACATTTGAAAGTGCCTTATTTTCAATGTCAAAATTTATTTTATTTTTCTCAGTAACTTGTAACAGATAATTAACAATAAATACAATAAGGATTTGAAATTAATGGGAGTAAAAGTACAGACCCCCATAAAAAGAAAATACTCAACCTCAACATTTAACGTAAGTAAAGTACTTTAGTAAAATAACCCCTAAGTAGGGTCACTAAGACAAAACTGAGAAATATCTTGGAGCTTTTTTTCTGATCCACATTCTGGACTGAAATAAGACTTATTTAAGCTCAGTTAGAGATCTCTTCTTTGCTTTCCTAGACACACACACATACACACACAAACATATACAAACCACTATCACTGATGCAGAATATACAGTCACACACATGCAGCAATAGCAAATCCACATGGGCATTTAGCCTCACTGCACTCTAATGAGGGTCATCGTCAATCCTCATGAAACATCCCCAGTTAGCAGTGATGAACGTTCACATTTTTCTGCAGTTGATATTTCTCTTACCGTGCTGTGAGTTTTCCATTACATCCACCTTGCCAGTAAAAGGGACAGTTCATTAAGGGAGAAAAGACATGGCAGTTTAAGAAGACATAAAGTGTAAAGGGGTGAAAATGTAGGTGAGGGGGGGCACACCGGTGAAGACACTCTGAGTTGAGTTCTAACACATTTCTTGTTCATGTATTGTGTCTCGCAGGGCTTGTTCGTGATGGTGCTCTGTATGGACAAGAAGCAGTGCCTTGACAGAGGGCAACGTGGGTAAAAGAGACATGCGACACCCAGCCCTGCACCACGGCCACCTCTTCCTGGGCGGGGCCTTGTTGCTTCTCCTGGCCAGCCCGGCTCTGAGCTGCCCCGCCCGATGTGAGTGCTCTGCCCAAAGCAAGTCAGTCAGTTGCCACCGCAAGCGCCTGTCCACCATCCCTGAAGGCATCCCCATTGAGACACGCGTCCTGGACCTCAGTAAGAACAAGCTCCGCATCATCACGCCAGACAACTTCTCTTCATTCCAGCAGCTGGAGGACCTGGACATTAGCGACAACCTCATCAGTGTGGTCGAGCCTGGCTCATTTCGTTCCCAGCTTGCTCTCCGCTCGCTCAACTTTCGCAGTAACTTGCTTCAGCTGGTTCCTGCTGGCGTGCTGTCAGGCCTGACCAACCTCACCCGCCTTGACCTCAGCCACAACAGACTGGTGGTTCTCCTGGATCATGCCTTCCAAGATCTACGCAGGTTGACGTCCCTAGAGGTGGGTGACAACGAACTGGTTTTCATCTCTCAGCGGGCCTTTACAGGATTACTCGGGCTCCAAAGTCTGACCCTGGAACGTTCCAATCTGACTGTGGTCCCTACTGATGCTCTGGGACATCTGCACAGCCTGGTTGAACTGCGTTTGCGCTACTTGAGCATCAGCTTTCTAAAGCCTTTCTCCTTTAAGAGGTTAACGCGTCTCCGCCGACTAGAGATTGATTACTGGCCCTGGCTGGACACATTGCCTCCCCTCTCCCTGCACGGCCTGAACCTCACAACGTTGTTCATAACCAACACTAACCTGTCTGCCTTCCCCGGCGCAGCACTGCGCAACCTTCCCTACCTCACACATCTCAACTTGTCCTACTGCCGCATCCAGCACATCCATCAGGGAGAGCTGGGCCAACTCCCACACCTGCTGGAGCTTCGTCTCCAAGGGGCACATCTGATTTCTATTGAGCCCTTTGCATTTGCGGGCCTCAAATCATTGCAACTACTGGATGTGTCACAGAATCGCCTGGACTCTCTGGAGAGGGGAGTGTTTTCTTCACCAGACAGCCTCCAGAGGCTCTGTCTGGGTGGAAATCCATTAGTGTGCGACTGCAGATTGCTTTGGCTGCTCAACAGTCACAAGCCCCCCTCTCTGCAGATTCTGGATGTCCAGCCTGAGTGCAGCGCCCCTGAGCGGCTCCTGGGGAAAACTCTCCGTGACCTCACGGAGCCCCTGGCATCCAGGTACATGACCTGCACCAAACCAAGGATTGGACCCAACACAACCCAGCTACTGATGGCTGATGAAGGTCAGCCGGCCCGTCTGAGCTGCATGGCAGAGGGAGCACCTCGGCCCTCAGTGGTCTGGATTACACCTCACAGACGCTACATCACAGCCAGGAGCAGTGGTAGGGTGGAACTCCAACCAGATGGTACACTGGAGATCAAGGCAGCGGAACTGCACGATAGCGGGGTGTACTTGTGTATTGCTAGTAATCCTGCTGGCAACGCTAGCCTGTCGGCCTCTTTAGCTGTGAAGAGCCTGGGCATTGGGGACAGATCTCACTATAGCAACAGGAGCTCAAACTATCTGACAGACTCCAACAGCACATGGGGGAATGGGACTGTACTGTACAACATGACCGTCCCTATAGACATTAAGACTATCATTATATCTACAGCCATGGGCTGCCTGTCCTTCCTAGGTGTGGTCATCTTCTGCTTCCTGCTTCTATTTGCCTGGAGCCGAGGCAAAGGACGCCATAAGAGCAACTTTGATATTGAGTACGTTCCACGCAAATCCAACGGGGCAGCAGCAGAGGTGACTGAAACAAGTGGCCCACGACGGGTAAACATGAAAATGATTTGAAACCGATGCAGACGGACTTTGTCAAAACAACAAACCGTCCACATATCAGCTGAAAAAAAGTTTTTTCCTATGACACAGTGGATTTGTGACAAACAAAAGTGATGTACTAATATAGTGGGTGTCGATATGACGGTGATCTAGTGATAAAGTGGGCATGTGAATATAAAAGTGATATATGAAACTGTGGACGTGTTTATATGAAATAATGTTCTCATACAGTACATTGAATATAATACTATAACCAACATATCAATATGGGAGTGATATAGTGCTGCACTAGGCATGTGTTTAAGTGGTGACGTGATGAGTAATGATGTTGTCGACTCACCATGACATCAAGGTGAAGGAGGGAGCCGCTGGGAGTGACAGGGGACATCTTTGCGTGGCAGTAGAGCTATCATCGCTGCAACATGTCAGGACTAAATTCTCTAATACCCATATTAGCTGCAGTATGAAAGGTGTGTGTATTGTTCATGTGTGCACGTGTGCGCGTATGTGTGAGTGCATCGGTGTGCGCATGTTGCATTTGTGCGTTTCTTTGTGCATGTGCACGCATTGCCTTTCTTGTTGGACGGAACAATTAAAAATGAATGATAGGGTCAAAAGTATTTTTCCAGGCCTTTGTTCTTGTTTGGTCATTGTAACGGCAGTGTTGTCACTGTTGAGTAAAACAGCAAGATTATCTGTGTTCGTATGCAAAATCACAATTATTATGTTAAAGAGAAATGCTGCATACATTTTGAAATAGGTCATTGTCCCCCTTGGAATGACATTAAATGGGGAATTTTTTCTAAACTCAAGGAAATGTTAAACACACGCAGTAGTTATAATGTGAAGTCTGAGCTTTGTCTTTACCATATAGCTCAGTTTCCAGCAACACTAGACACTCCTGAGAACTAGCAGCGGTCAGTGGTGTTATTACTCGGGAAAAGCTTTTAGCTATAGAAGTGGCATGTTAAACCCATTTTATAACATAATAAATCATGGGCAGATTTTCCTGCCAGACAAATCCCTTGATATGATATAAAAGAGTCTGTGGCCAGACACAATGGCAAAGATTTACAGGATGTTGCCCTCTTTGGGACAAGACAAAGTTGAGCTTCACAGATTTATGGTTTGAATTTCCACCCCTCTCATTTGTCTTTGATCGCACCACTTCAAGCTTGCGTGTCCGGATTCTTCCCTGGGGTACTGGGTATTTAATAGATGGCAATTTGAAAGTTGTAGTGGAATCTTGTATTGTTTAGTTTTTTTGTTGAAAATGTTTTAAATGTTTAGAAAAAAAAACTGTAAAACAATTTAAGGGCAATTATTTGTAATGCAGGGACGTACGTGGGTGTTAAATGTGTGATCCTGTTGTGATAAAATGTTCAAGGTTGTAAAATTGTTTTCATATGACAAATTTATGGGTATATTTTCAAAAGGAAATAAATCTTAATCATACCCCTAAAATTGGAGTTCCAGTAGTTTAAATATTGTTTACTGACTTAACAGTCATTTAAATCCTTTTGTCTAAACAATATTACTTGTAATATTTAAACATTTTCCTAACCCATGATATTTCTCTGTCACTAAGTATTGTATTAATCTACGGTCATGACTTTTCCAACTTTTTTTGCTATTTATATCATGTCATTTAGTAAACACTGTGTTGTAACCACTCAACATTTATGGCATTTTTACTCATATGGTCAGTATAATGTTTCTGGGTCAGTGTGATTTGTACATTACTGTATCCTCCTTGCATATTTGCAGGCTATTTTGACAGCTCATTCCTTGTCTGATGCCTTCAAAGTAACCCCTGATGTCCACTCTGCAGACCTTCAAGGCCAAATTTTTGCTTTTCTGATTTTTAGCTACACTATTAGCATTGCTCTAGGGGTGATACTGTTGGCTGGTCGGTTATTTGTCCACCACTTTGAGTTGGATGGTTCACAAACATTCAAAGCATTTATCTGTAGGCTATTTATTTATTGAGTGTAAAGTTATGGGGACAGTGCACATAAATAGACATTTCTGTAAATGTGCCAGTTTAGCCATCTTGGATAATTTTCAGCTGCAGTTCCTGGGCAGCTTTAATGGCCGCTACAGAAGGAACACAGCATACATTACAACAGGAACAGCAATAGCCTACAGTACATATACAAGAGTGCACGGAATAAAAAGACACAAAATGCTTCAAAACAAGGACAACAATACATAAACCCTAAAACAAAGCTTTGGTAATAATATAGCCTAAGTAACTTTTTAAAATCTTTGGGTTTTGCCCTATTGCAAAACTAATGACATTTTCACCTGCCTCTGCTCTACTTTGGGTTTAGCGCAAAATCAGCAAATGTTTGCATGATAACACACTAAACTAAGATGATGGATGGTAAACTTTATACCTGCTAACCTTCAGCATTTTAATATTGTCATTGTGCGCATGTTGGATGTTGACATTAGCATTTAGCTCAAAGCACCAATGTGCCAAATGCCTCACAAAGCTGCTAGCATGGCTGTAGACTCTGGAACAAAAGGCTTAAACCCAAACCACTCCTGCTTGTTTTCCACAAAGTTCACGTTCAGTGCATGTCTTTGAGTTTGGACTTAATTGGTGCATCTTCTCACGCAGTAACAGAGTCATGGCAGTGCTGTCAATTTCTTGTGTATTCATATTCAAGCTGCTAGAGGTTGCACACCCTGGGATCTGATTGTGCACCACACTTCCATGTGGTCCAGATGGGGATTGGAAAACTGCGACTCCATGCAGCTTTTTGCAGTTCACACTGATCAGAAAACATCAAAACTGGGACACATGAAGTAAACACATCAGAATTGGGACACTTTGAGCTTCAGCATGTAAGCAAGCAAACACATACCACATTACATGACCCAACACCTAGTGAAAATGAAACCCTGCGTGAGATACCTATTCCCATCCATGCCAAATGCTTCATGGAAAAAGAGTTTTTAATAGTTGCCTTCTTCGCTGCCTCACATGAAAATCACATAAAAGGAAATGCTAATTTGGCATCCTGCTCTAACAGAAAGCGTCTTTTTCAGACAGCACTTGATGCTATCATGCTAATGGTAATCAGAATTTCTGTCTTTTGTTTGTGAACGCTCAGAGGGAATATTCAGGCTGCTGCTGTGGAAGAATGAAGACAAGATCAAAGTCCCTTCAATGGGCCTTTATTATTTTCATTGCAGTTTTTCCTTTTACTGAGAGATTGCTGTAAACATCAGAGAGGAAATGTAACTAATCAATTACTGTCTAGTTTCCTTCCCATCATACATCTCAAAGATGGAGGAATTTCCGAATCAGTTCTTTAATGATCCCAGCTTGAGTGTGTAATGTGTATTAGAATATAAAAGATCCCCCTGCTCAGTGATCTGGCAAAGAAACACTATGTTATTAGCTTAGTTTTATGTGATTACGACCTGAACCATCATCTATTGCAGTAAATATATAATGCCAACACTTCAAGTGAAACAAAACACTTAAGGAGTGTTGGGTCGCGCTCAAGTAGAGGTGTTCACGCTCTGGGCCATACTCCCTTAAATTAATAATTTCACGCATCATAAAGGATCTTCATAAAGAATCTATCACCACCTCGCAGCCTCATCAAAGAGCGTGAATCAAGGTCAACCAGACTCTGTGAGCCTGGGTGCTGCATCAGGGTGAGTTTAGCTTGGTTGGTAAAGAGGAGCTTCATCACACAAGAGATCCAGGTTTCCAGGAATGGACAGGCCGTCTTGACATGGGATGTTTGACCTGTTGGCCAGCGAATTAATTTCGTAATGAGGTTTCTAAGTTCATCCTGTCTCATGATATCTTTCTTCCACAGCCAACTTTACGTCAGTACTTTCCACCTCCCATTAAAACCTAAGCTGACAGGAAGTGGCTATTGTGCTTTGTATTAACTGTGCGTCTAAGAGATAAATGATATGATGCCTTTAGGTCCCTGTCGGTTATATCAGAACCACCACAAGCAGATGATGTATTAACAATACAAATAAGGGGGTATCTGTATTTAGGTGATGAGTTTGTAGATTTAAAGACCTGTGAGATGAAATTACATTCTACAATAAAAAAAAAAAGCACATGGTGAGGATTTTTATTCCTGAAAACATTTTATCTGAAAGTTTGGGTAATTACACATTACAGATTTTCTGAGAGATTTGTGCTCTTCTCACTGGTTTGAAGTGGGCAGGGGGACAAATGGAAAAAGGTAATGTCATGCATCATCACAGATTTGTGATAGGATCTGATTTGTCATCAAATCCCATCACAGTCCCGATGGAACAGATTAGCTTTATTAGTGTGAATAAAACATGAACCAAAAAAATAAACTTTGAATGTTGTTAATTACCACCAGGCATGTTACAACATATCACTATTTATATCCTTATTACATCTTTGTAACCAAACTTGATAAGATGCTGAGGTTTTTGCACCTGCCTTACTTGTGTTACCAATCATTATTGCTGCTACATTTCACTGGTTGCTCCAGACGTCTGTGCTGTTTTGATGCATGCTTCACAGCGAATCAATAACAAATATTGGAGTTTGGTGCAGTGGCTCTTCCCAGTGCCCTGGGGCTCGCTGACAATGTACAGACGATAATGAAAGGTCAGTCACTTACCGAGCTGGCCGGCAGAGATGGCAGGTTCATGCCACACAGGGCCCCCCAGAAGGCCCCTAGAAGGAGCTGTAATTGAACCAATTCTCCTCTGATCATTAACCAACAGTACAGCCTATTTACAGTACAGACTCAGTGGGTAGCCTACATTAATCATTCTTCTCATCATTCTTGATAAAGACTACAAGAGATTAAATACTCCAGTTATTGACCTATCTTTCACATACCACTATGAAATAAAACGCATTTTGAAACTTATTTCACTGATAGTTTTGAGTGCCATATTTCTTTTTAAAAATGGCCCACATTCAGACCAGAATTAATCATACACTTAATGGTGTAAATCACAAGTAAAACAGATGGAGCAGCAGATTTATAATTGTGTTTACAGCTCTTACATTTGCGGCTTGGCATCTTTCTCAGTATTGGAAATGTCTCCATCTGAAGCAGCAACAGATAGATCTCTGCAGCAGTGAGTAACAGAAGGAGTATCTGATGATTTTGTGAAGAAGATGAAGACATTCTCAAGGTTTTCATGTGGCTTTTGCAAGAAGAAATATAAGCAATTTAAAAATAACAACTCTTTTCTCCCCCTCAACAACTCGTTGCCTCCGTTGGTTAGCGTCAGCCAATCAGAGGCTGAGTACCTGATGCAAAGCTAGTGTCTGTCAAGTGAAAATCTAGTGGGGGAAAAATAACGAGTTATGAACTCTGAGTAACTTGGTGGCTTTGGGTAGATTTTGCTGTGAAACTGACATTACTTGGTCAGTTTGCTGACTTTGTGACTCTTCTCTACTTGTGTAATTGTTAAAGTTTAGACATGAAGTGAATTTTCACATTGCAAGGGCAAATTTGCATCCACTCGCGTCTTTCTATTGACTTTATGCAGTTGGACCACCTCTAAAAATATGGTTTTCGCCCTTTACGTTCAAGCAGACATTAACGCTACTTTACTATTACTCTGTTATCGCTTTTGGCCACACTTGTTGCTGTTCATAATCACACAATCTCACTTGAAATGTAGGCTATATCTGTCGTCCAACATAAGCAGCTGAATGAATGGAAATGTGACAAGGCTTTCTGCTGGAGAACAGTGGATTTTATTCTCATTTGTCCGTGACAGTGATCCCGCACTCACCATCAACCATAGCCGTGCCCTGGTCAAAGTTTGGCACCACTCAGCTCATCTCTGTGGATCTGCCCCATTAAAACACAGCTTGTGGCAAGTGTCAGTGAGAGGTGCGGTGTGAAAGATGAGAGCAATAAGAGAAAAGAAGCACATCACATTGCATCACTAGTCGACCCCTGGGGTGTGTATTGAATTGATATGTCATCCAAACATCAGGGGATGGAAATGGTTTAGTGTGACGTAGTTTTGCAGACTTCTCCCTAGAGTTGTATTAGCCTGGGAGCTTATGAAGATGTCCTCCCTGCAGAGTGTTACATGTGTATGAAAAATTACAGCTGGATGCCAGGAGGCATGTAGTGTGATTTATTCTGAAGCCATGGAGAATTACAGTCATTTTAGAGATATCCTCTGGGCTTCACTTGCAACCCATGTGAACACTAGCCCTGAAGGCAGCGAAGTGATCGAGCTACCTTATTCTCAGAAGTACTGTAGTATTGCTCTTTAAAAAAAGCAGAGCCATAACTTTATTCTGAAGATAAAGGATGGGGAGAAACATGTAATTTACATATTGTGTATCTTATCAGGGCGTGTTAATTCTATTTTAACTGTAGCCCTGCAGTTGGCCAGCAAGTGAGATGAATGACGATAAATGGTTCATTTGTGAGTGATGACTCTTTGCCCCTTTTCCTCCTGCAGACACTAAATCACAGAGGAAGAAAAGCAATGCTAGGTGCTGATTAATTCAAACATTAATTCTCTATACAACAAGCCTCCCAGTCAGCTTTAAATAGGCCCATTGTTCAACAGAAATTTGCTCTCACAAGACACAATCGTCTTTTCATGGCAGTGTTCTTGTCAGTGAGTCACCAATTAATTTGGTGCATTCTGGAGGGCTGGCCAATGGCAGCTCACTTCACACCAATCACATATATTACAAGCCAGTTTAAACACTAAGATCTGACCTACATGCAGTCTGCTTGGACTTTACATGGGACACCTACAATAAATGTGATAAATTTGTCAATCCCCCAGGGGGGATTCGGAGTTTCACCATACATGTAGGACAGACGATAGGTAAGACAAAAGGAAAAGACAAACACATCTCTATGAAATAAGGGAATCGTAACAACCACAATAAATAGTGTAAACGTCAGTGTGAATTAACAATTAAAACTAATTTAAAAATGCTGCAAAAATCTTGTTCTACTTGCACATATTGGCCCATCCTCCGTTTAGCGCTGGTCACATGTCAGGCAGCAGTCAAAGTGATGAGGCAGAAGTCAGCGCCTTTGCTGGATGAAGAGGTCACAGCCATGCTTAGGGGGTCAGGAGAGCTAATTAGACTGAATGAATGACAGGGACCTGAGGGGGTAAATGCAATTACCAACAGAATGAAAGGCATAAGTAGAGGAGATGAACCCATGAGATAGCTGCTGATGAAAATCATTTTTTGAAATACCTGAAGTAAAAATCAAATATATGCAGTGCTCTCTGATCATCGTTAGATCATCACACTTAGTTGCAGGGATGAACATTGTCCATGTTCATTAGGAAATTTATGGTCAATATGACAACCACAATAACTGTGTAAAAATTTGTCAGCTTGCCAAAATGAATGATGAGCTAAAAAGCTGCAGTGAT